ATTCGTCTCCTCTCGAGAAGCGTACAGCGTATTTATATATATGTCATTGTCACTGCGATTCTTCGAATCTTAATCTTAATCTCTGATCACGTCTCTTTTCTCTTTCTGTTCTCTTTTCTCCTTTCTACATTTTTTTTCTCTTTCCTTNTATAATTGGTGGCAGGCGGGCAGCCCATCTTAGCAACCGCGGCATAGCAGCTAGCGTCTAAAAAAAAATGGTCTAAACGGGACGGTTCGTGCGTATAATGTATTATATATATAATATATATTCATATATATATATATAGAGTCCAAAATTGAACAAGATACTATTTATTTCTATACTTAGAGAGGAAACACAACGGTAATTTCGTTCAGCTTGTTTCATTATTATAGTCCTTGTGTATAGTGATCACGATTCTTCTTTTTCTTTTATTTGTATAATAATTTCGTTGCAAGAGCAGACCAGCTTAAAAAAAAAGCTAAAAAAAAAAAAAAAAAAAAAAGAAAGTAACAAGCAGAAAACAGTAATGAGTTTAATAAACTTGGTCTACACTCGGAAAAACGTAAGATCAGGCTGTATATTCAGAATGTATATGTATGTATATATATATATATATATATATATATGTAATGTAAATACAATATGCAAAGAAAAAGAAAAAAAATCAGTAATAATAGTAAGTAGTAAACTCGTAATCTCGTCGTCATTTGATTCGACGAGAAAGAGAGGGAGAAAGAAAGAGAGATAGAGAGAGAGAGGAAGAAAGAGAGAGATAGTGAATAAAAAATAAGATAATAAATAGGTATTTGTTTGTGCTTCATCTAAAAACTATGCGTGTAATAACAGATACAAACCATCCAATCGGACTACGTATATCACGGGGCCAGATCACTATTGTCACGAGCCGATCTCTATCTACGATTTAGAATCGTTTCCTTTTTTTTTTTTTTTTTTTTTTTTTTTTTTTCTGAGTGTAGTCTACTTTTGACGGTTGTCGAGCATTTCATATACACGCGAAATAGTACTTTGTCCATTTTTGGTATCGGTTGGTGTAGTGTTTTCTTTTTTCTTTTTTTTTTTTTTTTTTGTCGTGTTACATACTGCTCGTGGCGCCTCTCGCGCCACGAGGATGGCTTCGTGTTCTTCCGGTGTTCTGGTATCTGTTGTTGTTGTCCATGCATGCGCACAATTAATTCTAACTCGTTAACACGAGTCGCTACCATGGCAACCAGGCGGACTTAATGCAATGTCAATCAAGCTGATCGTCACACCTTTCGACCAAATTTTGTTGGCCTGCCTTTGTTGTGAACCGATATAACCTTCGCTACTTACGGTTTTTATGCGGTTTTTTATTAAATAGTCGTTGCGTTGATTCGGAGGAGAATTTGAAAAAAAAAAAGAACGTGTAAATTTTATCGCGAAATATATATATATTATTCGATTGTATAAATATCAAAGGTTAGCCAAATTCGCATTCGTATTTTTGCAACTCGAAACGATATCCGATTGTTTACGAGCCGAGGGGAAACAACAATTTCGCCGTTATGTATTTTTACCTTTTCAGTAAGATAAAATCAATACCGAATCTCTCGGCGGTGTGCAAATATAAAATAAAAAATTCAGAAAAGTCAATAGAAAAAAAAACAAAAAAGGCAAACAAACCGTAGCTTAATTACCATCCGTTAGATACTCTTGATACTTGATAGGGGGAAAAAAAAAATACCTATATAAAGAGAGAGAGAGAGAGAGAGAGACATTGACCAAAAACAAACATTTTCTCTTTTTTTTTTCAAAAGATCCTAAAGTTAAAATCAATCTGTCCCATCTGTATCGTATCGATATACTCGTTCATCGACACGTACGAAGTGTTCGACGACGAATTAAAAAAATTTCGACGCGATCGATCGGCATTTCGTGGCGTCGAGGAATGTTGCACATCGAAACAGGAGGCGCGTAACCCCTAACGTAATCGCGTTACACGATTGTGTCGTGAGGGTGTTCGACTCGCGACGAACGAGGAGTAGATCAAAGGAGGCGCACGAGCCCGAGGCGATGCGATTCTGTGCACGGCAACCGAACTAATTTCATCGACGGAACGCCAATCGGCCCTCGAAACGCGCGGGGGGGGGAGAGGCGAGGGAACGAATGGGCGAACGAACGCCCTATCCGCTTCTTCCCTCCTCTTCCCTTCCCCCTCGCGATAGAACCGGATTAAACCTACGAATTTCCTGTGGTCGAACTGCAATTAATCGATTATCTCGTGCACGTCTCACGGGGTGGCGATCGATCACGGCGACGTTATTGCGCGATCGACCGACATCCAATCCGGAGAAGTAATCCGGAAAATTGTATTTAAAACTTCGAACGCTTCTTTGTCCTCTTTGTTATTTGAAATATTTCGAGGAGGAGGAAGGTTTTTTTTTTCTTTTTCTGATCGATCATCAGTTTTGAAAAAAAATGGCGATTGGATGTCTTCGTTCGGAAAATTCGATACGGAAAAGAATTGCAGAATTCGAGTCGTATCGTAGAATATATATATATATAAATATAAGGTATAAAGGAGTAATATTTTTTTCGCAACTTTTCGTCCTTTTTCTTTTTAAAAATACGCGAATAAAATAACTGGAATAAGTTTGGGCAGATATCGGGGATTCGATATGATCAAACGCGAGATTTTCTTCTATCCATGCTGTAAATGTATTTTCTAATTCTATCTAATCTAAGAAAGCTAATGATTAATGATATATCTTTAGCTAAGTTTAAAAAATTTTTTCAACGACGACACATTTGTTTATCGATTTGCATCACACGTAATTATACGATTCATTATTTCTTCTCTTTTCTAAAATATATGTTACGATGCAATCACAATGAAGGTACACATACACATTCATAGTGTGTACATACAAATGCAATTTCGAGCTTTGGATGGATGGAAAAAAAAAAAAAAGGAAAGATTTAATACTCACCAGTTAGCGTTTAACAGTTTGCTCCCTATTCCAGTTATTTTACTTGCGGTTACACGCGGTTACACACCCGAAAACCCCGAAAATAAATCACCATTTTATCCGCCGCCATTATTTCCCGATCATTTTTAAAATTGATCGCCTGAAAAATCTATGCCCATTTCGAGCATAGAAAATTGTAAATACAGTTACCAAGCATTTCCAACTTACTTTTTGCTCGCGTGAAAGGAAAAGGCTATCAGCTATGATCTTTCTTTGAATGTTATGCCAGCGACAAGGAACGAAGGAGCTTTCATAAGGAGAATCTATTGCATTCCTGTGCGCGTGCATGCACTCACGTTGTAAGTGTACATGAGAGTGTGCGTAATATATACGTGTGTTCGTTGTCTTACGTGTGTATATATACATATATATGTGTATATATAT